GGATAAAACCACACCAAAGCAACATATAATCAAGTTGCTGAAAACCAGTGATTTATAAAAAAAAATCTTAAAGTAGCCAGAGACAAAACATACACAGAGGAAACAAAAAGTAAGAATGAAGGTAGATTTCTTGTCAAAAACTGCAAACCAGAAAAACAACTGAGTGATATGTTATTGTGATTTGCTAACTTGGCTGTGAGCTTCTTAGGACTACTTCCTGATTTTGTCTTAGGTCATGTTCCCCACAATAACTGAGACAAATGTTTTTGTTTATGAGGTTTACTTGGAATGACATTGTAAAGAAGTGATGGAGGTGGGATGGGCAAAAGAAAAAATTTAACCACAATGCAATTGCAATAAGGCCTCAGCTGATCCCATGGCAGGATCCGGGAGCTGTGATGACTTTTCGGAATTGTCCCAAATTAATAAATGAGCTGGGTCTTTTACCTTCATATAAACCAGTCAATGGGATATGGGCTGATCCTGGGGAAGAGATGTAAGCTTTGTAACGTAGTTCCCTTTAGCCAAGCACAGTTCCTAAAGAGGAATGTAGCCAATATTCCCGACAGCTGGAGGAATAAAGACTCAACCCTGAACGGATCTGTGCAGAATACCCCACATTCACTACAAGGGATCCATAGCCTTAAAACTAAAGAAAAAAAAAAAAAAACGGTTTGTGTTAATATGTAAAAGACAGACAGAGACAGAAGGAATGGAACAATGGTTTTGATTATCTTAAAATTTAATATTTATTGATTATATCTTATTTTAAAAATATATATTATAGATGATTTGAAAATGAAAGTTTAAATCACCTATAACTTTATTATCCAGATATGACCGTATGAAATCTTGGAGTATTCTATTTCCAGAACTTTATAATCTAACTACTCAAGAAAAGTATCTTTTTGTCTTCTAAAGCTTATGTGATTAGCTAGGGTTAAGGATTTGCAGTAACTTCTCTTAAAAATTCATGAGGCCGGGTGCGGTGGCTCTCACCTGTAATCCCAGCACTTTGGGAGGCAAGATGGCAGATCACCTGAGGTAGGGAGTTCAAGACCAGCCTGACCAATACGGAGAAACCCTGTTTCTACCAAAAATTCAAAATTAAGCCGGGTGTGGTGACCCATGCCTGTAATCCCAGCTACTCAGGAGGCTGAGGCAGGAGAATCACTTGAACCCAGGAGGCGGAGGTTGCCGTGAGCCAACCATTGCACTATTACACTCGCCAGCCCTGGGCAACAAGAGTGAAATCAATCTCAAAAAAAAAAAAAAAAAATCACGATAACACTAAAAAGACACTGATAAAAGACCTTCCATTTTTGTTTATTACAATTGATGTCTCAGACTTTTGTATTCATGTGTTTTCATTAGCTTTCTAATTTATAACTCGGAAATTCCTGCATTCATCTGTAGATCTTAGCAGTCTCCATCTGTCTTCTGTTTCCTCAGTAATCTGATTTGTCAGGCAGCACCTTATGCCCAAGCAAAGAATCTGAATCTCTTTTCTCCAACTTAATGGATCTTCATGTGTCCCATCCACAAAGGCTGATATTCTACCTTTTACTGGATAGAAATACTACTAAGCATTACTCTACTTGTTCATTAAATTGAAAATTAAATTTCAACATCAACCATAAACTGGAAGGAATTACACAAATTATAACTTACTCAAATATTGATTGAAATTTAACTTTTGGAATCAGCATTGGATAATTTCTAAAGTAATTCTTTATGCATTTTTTTTAAGTGACTCTCAGGCAGCAGTGCCATCTGCAGGCCTCCTCTGATGCAGCTCTTTTTAGTTTGTGAAAATCTCTTCTTAAAAGGGATTTGGCTCCACTAAATACAGCTTTATAATATCAAATACACAGTGATGTTATTCACAAATTTTAAAAGGGTGAATTTACAGGTACAGATCTCTGATAGAAATTTTTTAACCACTAAGCTAATATCGACTGTCTAGATTTATAATCAAAATATCAAACATAATGTACAGCATCTGGAATATATATGGAATGAGCATGGATTTTTGGGATCACACAGAACTGCATTCTTGGGGCTCTATTATCTACCAGGTGTGTGAAACCTTTAAAATGTTACTTAAACGTTCTGAGATGCTGGCTTTTTATTTATAATATGGGGATAATATTTTCTTCACTACATGTTTGAGAGTTGAAATTAAATGACATGTATAAAGTGCCTAGTAC